ACATAATCACTCAGCCTGACCTACTTCTAAGACTGTTCTAACAGTGTACTGGGATAACCCTAAGTACACTACACAGAGTCCCTTTAAAGGAAGCTGATATACTAATATAATAGATGATTTAATCAAACAGCTCAGGTTCTCCAGGAATCAAAAATATAACAAAGGCATATTATACATCCTATTTGCATTCACCTATACAATTGATATATTTGATAGAATATATCACAGAATATATAACACACACATTCATTATACTTAAGTACAATGCTATGTATGTATAAAATGTTCACACTTTGTTAATAATTTAGATCACTGTCAGTCTTCACTCAAGTCCAGCAGTAAATCCTTATCTTCCCCAAACTAACAAGCCATAGGCATCCTTGAGAAAGGTGGAAAGGATACAACACATACTGCAATGTCATGACACAAACTCCACCTCTTATGTGCTTCTGTGGCGAGTCACTGTGCAGTTCTCACTGATTAAGACAGGTGTGTAGTTTCGCTCAAGGACAGAGTGTTGTCTATTTGTCAACTGCGTGAAAAGCATTAAATAGACAGCTAAAAGGCTGCCTTAGGTTCTTGGGTTAATTGAGACACCTGTGAGCAAGCATATCTGCCTTCTAGTAAAGATATTTATCAGACAAAAGAATTTTGGTTGTTTGTGCTTTGTGTGTCCTTGTGCGCTAGAGGTGCTATACAGTAGGGTGAATAGGGTGATCAGGGTGATTGAAGTCACAGGATGAAAGCAGGGCAACAGAGCCTGAGAGAGGATCCCCAGAGGAAAGGAATATGGTTCGTTTTGCTTGCAGAACAAGCAAAATTGGACAGGAAAATCTAATTTTCAGCAGACTGACTGGTGAAATGAAGCTACATTGGGGGCACAGCAAAGTGTGACCAAGATGTTTACTTTTCAGGACATTCAGGAAAACATAGATTATGTTTTTTCTCTCTCTAGGCCAGAAACACAAAAGTGAAAATAAAGCAAAGCAGCCTTTGGAAGAGGTTAACCTAACCAAACAGTGATTAAATTTTACAACAGCATAGAAAGAAAGCCTGAAACAGTTGAAGACCTGCAAGGATCTTCTGTAGTTGATAGTATATTACATTACTTAAACTAGGACCACTTTATATAAGCACAGGTTATTTATTTTATTTACACTGTAAACTAAAAAAAAATCACTTTATTTTACAAAAGAAGACTGCCTGAGGGCTTGGAAAAGTTCTTTCCCTTTCCCATCCTCTGACAATCATAATACAGGTACCAAGGGTGAACTTTGAATCATGATATCAGAATGCAAAGTTTCAGCATTTTGGCGTCATCATGGTGAGTCTGTGAAAGTTTACTCCCTTCATCCTGAAAGAGAATCTGCATTATTAAAAACAAGGAGGAAGATCTATTCGATGCAGAAAATCTGCCTATCAAACACAAAATTCAAATCCAACATATCTGTCAACTCCCTAATTTAAAATTCCACCACCACCCCTCTTTTAAATCAATTGGCCTAGTGGCTAAGGTGCTGGCCTAGAAACCAGGAGGCTGTCAGTTCTAGTCTCACCTTAGACCTGAAAATCAGCTGGATGTCTTTGGACCAGTCATTTTCTCTCAAACCCAACTCACTTTACTGGGTAGTTGTTGTAGGAAGAAAATAAGAAGAGGAAAGAATATCAGATATGTTTGCTGTCTT